CTGCCGATTCATCTTGCATACATTTTATAAAACGATGACTCATTTGTCGATCGAAGAAATAATCGGGTATTGCAAATTTGTTAATACGTTGAAATTTTTCAGGTTCTTCGTCCGATGTTTGCAAATCCGGTGAAATTTGATATGCATAATGAATATTTTTAAATTCGAATGATATCTTTTTGACAATTTCCGTTTCATCTTATTCTCTCAAAGGATTGATAATATCGTTACATAGAAGGTTTATACAACATGCTTCTAATATTTTTGTAGCTCGAATTTCCAGTGTCTGTTGAATGGTTAATTTTTTCATTCCAACGATCGATCTTATCATGTTCTCAAACTTTTTACTCGATCGGATTTGATCTCGTTCGCCAAGTTTGTTGATGTGATTGCGTTTCATGATTGTCCGTTTTCGAGCTAATTTTTCCGGTAATTGAGGAAAACAAATGGATAAGTGACATAAATCTTTCAGTTTCTTTTCCATCACCAATTTCGAAGCTTCTCCAATTACTATCGATATGTCTGCAAACAGAAAAAAAGACTGAGTTATTTCTCTAGCTCTGTTTGCCGAAATTGCATAGTTGAATTGTGTAGTCACAGATGAAATTTACTCTTAAGAATAAGATTCACTTCTAGTATTAAATCAGCAATAATATCGAGTATTGTGCAAATGTCGGGTGTTTTGATTTCAAATATATCTGCATCAGCAATTATTACTGATCGAAAAATGCTTTCTATTTCAAGTTGTAGTTGCACATAATATTCCATTAATTTTTCATTTTTTTCCAATTTATAATTACGTTCCAAATCCCATTTATCTACAATGGGATCATTCGAAAAAAACACTACCAGAATTTCGAATATTTGATTCCTCCTTCTACGGATGACGTCATCATCGCACCTAAAGGGATAAAAAGAACCTCGCAAAAAAAATTGACAATCGACTATGCGCTTAGTTCAAAAGCTGTTTAAGCGCCTAAATGCACGGTTATCTTCAAAATTTGTTGACATTCTTTGGTGAATTTGTTTTGTTTATTCTGTGCTCTTTGCGATTCAATCCACCTTTATTAAAATAAAACCAGACGATACTTTTTACACAAAAAGAAAGAACTGCTGTCATACTTAATTCATTATTTAGCGATTCTTAAATCTGAAACCTAGAATTCTATCGATTATAATTGTTCTGCAGTAGATTGAAACTCTTCAAAACCTTGTTGGTTCCATTCGACAATGTTGTAGATGAGAATATTTCCCAATTCGATTCGAATAATTAGACAGTCACAGATTGGTGAATATCTGATGCATAAAAGAGACAAAACGGATATAAATAAGTGAGTGGATAACTGCAGTAATCATATGTTCACATTTCAAAGCACCAAAATATGGCGCTACTTAATGCTGAATCCCGCTACCCGTTCTAGTGTGTGGGTGTGGGGTGGGTGGCTGACTGTTGATGTGGCTGTCACCGTGGATGTATCTCATAGCTTAACCCACACCCACACCCCATGATTAGTATGATGCTATTTTCATGGTTGGTTGGATAGGCGCAAAAATTTATGTGCGATACACCATTTTCCTTCAGAAAATCCAACAAAATGTTGTATTAGAAATAGATAGAACAAAATGGTAGAATTATTGGCTCCTTCAGGTTTAGACGTGCTTAATATGGCGAATCGTGTCATGCATGTGGCTTTATGTCAAATTCTGAATGATAAATGTAATCACTGAAGTAAAAAGAAACAAAGAATAGTCTGGATAAATGAACGACATCCAACTAGTATTGTCCTATCTACATATTGTTTGTCAATTATAGTCTTCCGGATGAATACCAAATATTCACAATAAACACAACTTCCAGGTATTTCGTTCATATACTAGAAAATAGTGAGATAAATTTCATGAATATTTGTGACCGAGTCGTATTCAACCCTCTCAATCTTAAATCGACCACCAGCTGGTAGCAGTACTTCACTCTCTTCTGGATAAACAGATAAATCGGCAATATCAACACCAGCATCAAGTGAACAAGGCTTTTTTATATCAATGATGAACAATGTATTGCCAGTAGTGAATTTGTTACGGTTGCGACTTGTTGACGAAAATCCTAGCCATTTAACTTGATTACCAACATTAGCATTGTATTCTTGAATCATTTCAGGAGTTAATCCAGCACGTCGGTAGACGGTCACATTTTGAGGATGGTTCGGATTTACCATGAGTGCATTGTAAAGCAGCAAGCAGAAAGCACCGATGTGGTCTAGTTTTGTAAGATTATTTTCGCGTAGAGCAGTGTTAATAAGTGAATAGACAAAAGTTTCAGCAGTGTAGAGTCTGATACATTGGTCGTACACATTCTGTCCACTGTTCCGACGAAGTTGATTCTTGACATCGATTGCTTGCTCTTCGTTGCCAAGAGCGACACCCTCACGAAATAATCCTTCAGCAGCTAATAAACAAAGTTCGTCAATATTGTTCCGAGAGATATTCTTCTTCTTTATGTATTCCATACACTCTCTGATGTAGGCTGAACCTTTCTCGGTCATTTCAGCTAGAGACCGAGTGAATTTGGGTGCATCCAGAAAGCGATGGATGCGCGAGAAAGTCGTAGTGACAGGTATCATACTCGTTGGTCCTAGCGAAGAGTCAAGCGACTTGATGGTCTCATTATGAGGTTTTGGATATTCGATTGAATTATGACCACTAGCCATTTTCCTAGAACAAATTCATATGGATATCAGGTTTATTTGTAATCCATTCATGCACTCATATGTAAGAGTTTGATTAGCTCAAAACTGGAATAAGAGAAATCAGTCCGATATTATTTGTACTTATGGGCGTTGTGCTGATGTAGGCTTTGAAATGTGTGCTCATTGTCAGAATGGAGGTGAGGATATGTTGTTGGTTAGACCAAAGAGAAGATTCACATCCTTTCATTGACCTACCGTCAATGACTCTCACACAACTCGCAAACATAAGATCATATTAGGAGAGATGCAGGAAAAGATCGTTACTTCATTTTGGAAGTAAATTGCGATCCTTAGAATGATGCCGTAGTATACCATGAAAGCAACTGGAATAGTTTGTCGAAAAATTGGCCCTATTGGAAAACTACATCGTTAACAACTTTTTTCTTCAACAGGATTCATTTTGTTCTCTTCAACAATATATTATTTACAACTTGCAGAACAACTTTTCCAGACTTTCAATAATTGCATTTATCTGGCTTCCTGTAGTTTTCTCTTGGAAAAAGCATACTGGAGATCATATGATCGTGAGTCAGTTTCGTTTCGAAACAGTCATTTACTCATCATAGATCAAACTTTCCTAGACCGACAAAGTGGTAAGAAGACATGTGAGAAAGTATTCTGCCTTCAAGATTTTCTGTACATCATATGATTCAAGTTCTCTGAAAATTCTATCCGTAAGGCAATGGTGTTTAAATAATCTTTACCATAGTTCACAAGTAATGTTCATCAGTGCTCGACTCAAGTGGTTCTAGACTAAAAAAGTATGAGATTTATTGTTTCTCGAATTATTTGCAAAATGATCACAAGCATATGTGTACTATATGTTCATTAATTGAAGATAGAACATGATCAATGAGATGCTTGTGACAAGTTTTATTAAATTCTACTGATTTCAAGAAACTCTGTTAGCGTAACTCATGCGACATTAAAATGTGTAATACAATGGAGTAACTTAACTGGCGAACGGAACTACTAACCAAATCGATCATTGCTTCAGATGACTGTATTGATCGATGCATTGAAATGTCTCTCATGGATAGCAACAAAAGAGAACTCTATGTATCCTGTCGATCTATCAAGACCTAGCATGTTGAAATGCATACTATGGCCTGTGGAGCGGACAAGAAGAGGATGCATCTGTTTTGCTAAAGACTTCAACAGCCATCTCCACATCGTTTTCACAAAAGAAGCTACACAAAAAAAGAACTTTATAAGAAAAGAAGGAGTGACGAAGTGAGTTGTAGTGAAACGAAGATCAAATGTTCCTCCAACAAGATAATTTATGTAAGGGGTACTTACGTAAAATGTGTAATGTTGGATTGAAGAACGAGAAACAAAATGCTTCACTGTTTCGTTCTTTTTTTTGTATTTATGCTTCCAATAACGTATGCTTGCAAGGATTTCACCATAATGAATTAATATTTCTCTTTCGTTCGTTACATGGACATAGCTGCGATGTTGTTATTTTCATATGAAACTGGAAAGAAAAACATAAGACAATGTTTGAAGTGCGTCAATGCAGTTAAATAATGACGTGCATGACAAACAATCATATAGTGAATATTTGACAACTGTGCTCGCGAAGAATAGAATGTAACATTCGCAATAATTGTTTGATTCATTTTCTTTCCTACTAAAGTTTCGGGTATGAATTATAGTCATGTAATAACAACTTCCACTACTTTAATATTGTGCTACGAATAACTATATAAATTCATCGGAGTTTCAAACACTCTTCAAAGAGATGCTCTATATTATTTCATCGAATAATTCGTGAATATGCATTGCTCTCTTCCCTGTAATCATCCGTTGAAAGACTTCATTCGGTAGTCTATCATATACATTCTCAACACATGGTCTAACCAAGGCAGCTGTGACTGTTCGATGTAAAGTAGTAAGGGTTCCACTCGGAGATTGTGATATGGGTAGATGGGAGTGTCTTAAAGAAGACCCTTACACTAACTCATTCTTAATGCAAGCTTTTTGATTTACGCTGTCAAATCAAGCTATAACCATCGTTATGCGGTGAGTTTCATGGGCTATCTTTTGTTCAAACAAATCTATGACATAAAATCTGATTGAGGTATAACCAGAATATAAAGTAATCGATTTATCCTAAACCATCGCTTACTTATTATTGTGTAGGCATCTGTTTGGCCTCGCTTGAATGGTTGATTCATTTATATATTTCGATCATTTCGTGCTGCCTGACAAATAAATCTTGCTCTATTAATTTGAATATTTAGTTTAGATATGTCTTGGCTTTTAGTTACACGTATGAAGAATGAATTAGCAACTCTGAAGCGTAACCCTACACCGGGCGTATGTATTCGTCCTGTTACCGATGGTGACCTTCATCATTACCATGCATCAATCGATGGTCCTCCTGATACACCCTATGAAGGTGGCATTTTCATCTTAGACGTGAACCTTTCAGATGATTACCCATATAAACCTCCAAAGGTCGTGTTTACTACAAGAATGTTTCATCCCAACATCTATCCTGATGGTCAAATTTGTCTTGATATACTAGGATCGCAGTGGGCCGAGGCGCTGTCATTGGAAAGTGTTCTAATCTCGATTTCTGTACTATTAGCTGATCCAAATATCGAGGAACCGGCAAATCCTGAGGCAGCCCATTACTACCGAGAGGATCCTGAACAGTACAATCGCATTGTTCGACAATATGTGCAACAATATGCTTCACAAAATACTGTATCGTAGTTCCAGTACGAATAGTAGCATTAAAATATCCAAATTACAACAATACTTGACAGAATGTATCTGACACTATTGTGACATTCACAGTTTTAATAGAATCTTTCCTTAACTGCAAGATTTTTTCTAGTAATCTGTCATCATGTTTCACATTTTAGTCTTGATATCGGATGGTGTTGAAAATTTTTCTACATGCTCCGACGTGGCTTTAGAAAGTAGTCAATGAGTTTGTCTGATCCGAATGATTATGTCGTAATATACTTGTATTTAAAACCTGAGTGAGTGCAGGGGTGTGGGTGTAGATGTGGATAATAGTTAGAAACTCACAACGAAACCTGGATCAACACCACTTCACATCTATATCCATACCCACACCCACTCACGCTCTCACGCACAGCTTCGATTTTATTTTCCCTCTTCCTCTGTATGTATGGTTTTACAATTAACTGTTCACATCATTCAGCACACGGTGTCCCTCTGTGATCTTCTATACTTGGCTATGTATCAATAATAACAATAACAAAAACAATAGTTTTAGTGAAGATGCTAAAGATAAACACGAACGAATGCTTCTATCTCTCGCCTACATATTGGACATGATCGCAGTGAGTGGCCACAGGGCACACATGTGGCGAAATGTCCACATGGAATGCATGCAATACGTTTTTCTTCGCTCATGCATAAAGCACAAGGATTCATCAAAGTGGCAGCACTGGTTTGCATTGGCTCTGGGCATGTGGTTTTAGGAACTTTGTTCGCTGCTGTTGTTTCTTCAAGAGTTGGTTTTGCCGGAACCCTAGAATTCGATTCACTATTGCACGTATTCGGTGGATGTGTCCTTTCGACATTTGAAGTAGTCGGTCTAGCAATATTTTCTTGCACTGTAGAATTGGGTACCGATGCAGATGATCTAGTGCGCATTTCTAAACAATTGTTTTATGGTAAATATTGATGCAAGATACTTGCTTTCACGAAACATACCTGCTTGTTCCTGCTCACGTATTTCTTGCATTCTCACGCTGGGCACGATAATATTCTCTTTTTTACCGTTAATACAATCGATTTGTTTCTGAAGAATGGTACAAGCTATCAGTAGATCCGAATCTGTTTCGAAGTCATCTTCTAAAATGACATTTATAATTATGGAAAACTCTGCAAACCAAAAGAAAGGTCATTTAAGTTTACGTTTTAATCGAAGTTGATCTTCCCAACATCGTTTGATGACCGACAATTTAAACGGATTATCCAGAAGTCTTTGCGACATTGCTAAGTCCAGACGAGCAGCAACATAACGTGATAATGTGCTTTCATCGGCTATTTGTAGCTTTTGTGTATTTATATTCCCGTAGTTCTCCAGCTCATTTGCTCTGACACGTTCTAACAAAAAACAAATTAGCACGTTATATATTAGAGAGCACGAGCGCTTATATAGCAAATTCACAAAGTAAATCTCATCTAAAACTGAACCCAAGTAACGAATATACGAGCATTCTTATCTGGCATCTTTAGGCAATTTTGTTCAAAAATTGTTATCGTTCTAAATATTGACCATTGTCAGTTTTTTGTTCCAACACAACCGATCGGAGATAGCAATTTAATTTAATCATAGAGAAAACTCGATGCAATCAACTCATGTAACACTTATGAATTTCAATTGATTTCAACCACTATAGTATTGACTGATTTACCACTTAGTAGAAAAGGAAACATTTACTCTTTGCTAAAAAAGCGAGAAAGAGCATTTGAATAAGTTTTCAGCAAATAAATAAATCAATCAACAATAACCTTCTAGTAAATCTATACCGGCCATATCTATTCAACTAGATCATTGTGCGTAGCCATTTTACCACTTTGCACTATATAAAAGTAAGTAGATAACAAAACTTTTTGTCTACCAATACGTAGGTAATCGCTCTTTTGTCAATATATGTAGTGCTGTCGTTTATATGACTAGCTAAAACAATCTCAAAAGGCTATACTTTGGTTCCATTAGTGATGTTACTGGAAGCATACCTATTCTTGACACTGCTATCATGCTCACAATCCTTACAATTATTCAAATTCTCAAAATGACTGAAATCTTCGACAGTTTTAAATTTCCACATAATTTTCTTATTTTCACGATTCTCGTAGCGAATAATGTTTTGAGAGTCCAAAAGATCTCATAAATTTTAACAATCAAAATAAACTAGAGAATTGCTAGACTTCCTCATTGTAGAAATTCAAGACTTCTCATGTCTCAGATAAATTTTCCCTATTCAAAATTGTTCAAGTTAATGACATATTCACTAACCTTGAGCCAATCGTTTTGATTCCTCAATTTTTCGATAAAGATCATCGCCACAGAGTTGTTTGGCATAGGCGCAGTGAGGAAACCATCTTGCATGCTCAATCATTGGGTTATCATTAGAGCCCCAGTTCTGAAGTGATCCGTTACAATAAAAACACGTCACAATTGTGTCTTTACCAGTATAGAAGAATCCGGCTCGAACAAGATCATCGACAGCAGGTAGCTGTTCGCTGGACCAATTGGCAAATGATGCATACCGCTTCGGCATTTCGATAAATGCGCTGTGGCAAGCTGCGGTAGATACAATGCCATTTGAACGAAGCGCTTCAGTACCCGCTACCGCTGATGATTGATTGCTAGCGGAGTTTTCATTCAGAACCACTAGAGGCATCGTTTCGCGACGTGCCAGCATGCCAACCACATAGGGACATTTGGGTGATAGGGTTTTATGTACTAGCCATGGATCGTCTGCATTTGGTGTCCATTGTTGACAGATGAGATTACAGTACAAACATATCACGCGATCACCGACATTACAGTGAAAAAATCCAGCTTCTGTCATTTGTGCTCGAGATGGCGACTTTTTGTGAGGCCAATGCGAGAAAGTGCGACGGCGTATTTTTTTTAGTATCTCTGCTTCGAAAAGTGTCTGTATCTGAATCCTATTGTTGGATATTTCTAATTGTTGACGTTTGCAGGAATTCTCCGATTGATCTGTATTGGTAGTCGGTATTTTAAATGTAGTAGTCATTACAGATGATGAAGGCAGTTGAGAGACAAGATTCGATGGTTTCAGAGAACGAACGAATGGACAATTTGGACTACGTTCTGAATGAATAGAAAACGGTTTCATATCGAGCGTCCATTCGGATACTTCGAGTTGGCATCTATCGCATCGAAATGTATCACTGATATTAATATAGTGAAACCCAGCTGCCTTCATAGATATTGTCGAATGAACACTGTTTTTTCTTGAAAGATCACGATGTAGGTCCAAAACTCTACGACGCACATCCGCGAAGAATTTGTTGGGCTCAATGTTCTTGTAAACGGGTTTTCCAGATAGAGTCCTCTGAGAAGCTATGGAAGTGGTCTGGTTGGCTGTCATTTGATTGCCACAGCTTTCGACAGGTTTTGATTTAATTACGTCTGGGTTAGACCCTATTATATTAAGCCTATCAGGGCTGCAACAATCAAATTGCTTGCCTTGGATACGAGCCTTTGCCAATGAAATTGTTTGATCTAATATAGCTCCTTTTCCCGTTTGACTTGGGCATTTTGATATTTTCCCATACAGAGCGTAAGAGTCATTCGTTGCTAATTTTGCTGTGTAAGGGATGCCAGTCTCCAAATCTAAAGAGTCGAGTGTCATCCTTAATAAAAGACTCAGGGAGGATAATTGAAGAAGAAATTAGAATAGAATTAAATAAAATGAACAAGGTCCATATCTGAAAATATAAACAAAGATCCATTATCACTTTGCTTCCTATTTCTTCGATAAACGATCTCAAAAGTAAGAAAGGTGTGGATGTAGGTGTGCACCGTTGCACAGAAGACTGAAACCCACTGCGACCCACACCCACACCCACACCCTGAAAGGTGATTTCGAATCAATTGTTATTTAATAGCCAGTTGAACTTCTCTCTAGGTCCGCAAAACACCGATTATAACTGCATGAGTATGCGAAGGTAAAGGGACGATAAACGCCCTCACCCATTATGACAGTGAAATTTCTTGTATAGTCTTACCAGAAACCGTTACATTTCAATGTCAAAAATCATTTGTAATTTTCTCGAAGTCAATTTTCATGTTTGTTTCTCCTTGTATATAACAGAATCGTCAACTACTTTACCTCCTATTTTTGGTGAGGTTTTCAATCGAAGAGAAAACTATGTACGGATCAGACACCGAAAAGAATGAGAAAATTTGAACTCAATTCGATTCGGTTTTGGTCTTGGGTCCTCACAACTTAACAGAGCCGGATTTTTCATTTTTCCATTTATTGTTTGAGAAAATGAACCTTGTTGCATAACAGTGTCCCTAATTTCTGAATTCTTTGGTATACATATTGATATCAACCCGCAATTTCTGTCATTAGATTAGGGAAAAAACTCGGCGATATGCAGAGACCTACATTGCTAACCCTTAAAATTATATTAACTATTGATCACAAGACATTTCCGCGCACGACACTTGATCGCAGCGACATTTTCATGCTAAATGAAATTTTCTAGCTTTTCTATGTTAAGTTAATACACCTTCCAAAAATTGTTTATCTGTTCTGTTGTTGCGACCACAGAGTTTCGCTGTAATATTGAAATGGAACGATGGCAACTGGAACCTTAATACTAGCAACTACATCTCAACGCTCAAATCCACTCCAGAAATCACATCCGAATCCTAGACCCACATAGGAGCGCACACCCGTAGCAACCCACACGCGCGCTTCATAGCCTTAGTTAGCACCCACAGCAGTACCGATACCTGAAATTCCAGCGGTATCACCTAGCATACCAGTAGCATTACATGAGATGTTAGTAACATCATTAGGATGCTAGAGAGATTGCCTGAGTTCCTAAATATATTACTTTGGATGATAGAAGCAGCCATAGGATGCTAGAGACATCGCCTAGGCTGCTAAGCGCATCACCCGAGATTCTGGTTATGATTACATGGCAGATGCTCCCCACCGACAGTTGCTCCTCAGCGGCACTTG